TATATATAAATTTAAAAAGTATATATTACCTTTTAAAAAATAATAAAAAAGACATTTTTAATATGACGTGAAAGAAAATCAAATGTTAAACACCTAAGAATTTTTTGCTGCGTACAATCGCAAGCTGCCACTTGCCACAACCGCCGGCAACCAAAAAAAAAAAAAAACGAATTTTTCAAGAAAATAAAATAAAGGGTCATTTACATACATAACACCCAATTCCTATATATTTACATACCTAATACCTCAAAAATGTGTTTTTTTTTACATTTTTAACATCAAAATCTTTCATATCAACAAAATGTGATTGTTTCGATTTTTCATGCATAGGTACGTAGTATACATATGTAAAATCAAAAATTTAGTCGTTAGATATGCTAAACATAAGATTTGAATCCCTAGAACAAACTAAGAAATTGATCCAAAACATCAAAACCTCGATCAGCAAAAAAAAATTGCAAAAAATCACCACAAAAAATAGGAAATGACAGAAACAAAACCACAAATTGGAAGCAAAAGCCAGAACAACATGCAGAAAAAGTTAGAAAAAAAAAGGACAATGAAAAAAGTTGCAGGAGTGATTACCAAGGAAAGGCAAGATGACGAGGAAGATGTAGAGGGCGAGGCCCGCAGTGGAAGAGACGAAAAAATGGGAGATCGGCCTGACGGAGATGACAACTGCTGAAACGGCGATAGTAAGAAGCATCTGAATGGAGACGATGGTGTAGATTTTCCTAATGAACGCCCACCGGATTTCAGGGCTTTCTAACATTGACGGATAGAGAGGCCGCGCTCGCCCGCCGGCCTCCAGATCGGCGCCCTTATACGTCGGTCGGTTCCACTCCATCATCTTTTCTCTCTTGTGGATCAGAAAACTCGGTTAGGGTTTGGGGTGGTCGGGAAGAAGAAGGTTTTTTGGTGAAACAGGGGAATTGAGGATGGAGCAGTATGAAGGGTTAAAAAAGCGTTCGTTCCCTGCGGTTCTAATCGAGCGTCTTCTGTAACTTCTGATAAAGTAGTTTTTCAAAATTTACTTTTTTGTTTAGAATATATTAAATATAAGTAAAAATAAGAAATTTAGACATTTGTGTAAGTTTTTTAAATTCGAACAACATTGAACAACTAGAAGAAGCCCGTGATCGGCTCGTTCGATAAGTTAATAAGCTGAACACGGACAACACGAACAAAAATTTATTTATTCATGTTCAGTTCGTTTTGGCTCGAAATACTACTCATCAATATATATATATATATATATATATATATATATGATGCTTGCTAGAAAATTCGTGGCGGTAGAGTAATAGATTATCATTTTAGCGTTGCACGAGAATTCAACACACACTCAGATAAAAATGAATCGAGCTATGATCACACCAGAAGTTTTTACGTGGAAAACACGTAAAAAGGGAAAAACCACGGGGTCTGGCCCAGTTGTAAAAATCCACTATAAGTTGATGATTACAAATGCCCCTTGTCCCACAGGTGGGAAAGGGTTACTAGCTTTCCACGTTACAACGTCGACTGATGACGTCTAGTAAGCGGTGGTTGACGGAGGTCAGCGGTGGCTAACAACAGTCGATGACGGTCGGCGGTAGTGGACAGAGGTCAGCGGTAATTGACGACGTTCAACGGTGGTCGGCGGTGGTCGACAGAGGTCAGCGGTCGTGGTCGATGGTCAGTGGTGGTCGACGGTGATCGATGATGGCGACGATAATCTTGGATTTGAGCTCTTTCTCAAAACCTCAACTTCTCTCTTAAGCCTCTCCCCCCTCATGTGAGGGGTGAGACTCTATTTATAGTGTTTTGAGTGCAATTAATGCAGGAATATGAACCTTTTTGATCGGACGATCCGGAGAGCTTCCCTTGATCAGATGACGTTTGATGGACATTTGAGTGCCTTAACGATGTTGTAATTGAGCAATCTTAGGCTCGTTGGATTTGTCTTTTTTAGACGCTCGATTCGACTATAAACTCGCTAGATTCGACATTTGTTTGACCTTTCAAATATCTCCAGAAATTCTGTAGTAGTGGTTTAATGACTTGATCCGGGTCTGATTTGATTGGACTAACTTTTATATCATTAGGTCCGTCTCATCAAGCGGATCAGTTTGATTATAATTTTGCTAAAATCGAAGCTCCGGATGACTCTTAATCGAAGTTTGAATATCTCCTGTTCAAAAAATTGCATTGAGATTTGTGTTGGTTGATGAAAATTGTTGGTGGCGTATCAATATATATATATATATATATATATATATATCTGTGTATATATATATATTGATGAGTAGTATTTAAAAAAAAGTAAATTGACTATAATGTTGCAAAGATTTACAATCAATTAAAAGTATTGATTAAGAAAATATAATAAAAATTATTAAATTAAATTCCAATGATGTTTTATTATAAAAAATTATTTTTAAATCTTGCTCCAACTCTTAACATCTTATGATTACGTGATTAAGGCTACCAAAATGACTCTTTGTTCATGAACATGTTGTTTTTGACTCGTTAAGCAAACGAGCCGAACATGAACACACTTTTTGAGCTCCAAACTCGCTCGTGTTCGGCCCGTTTACACCCCTGATTGAGCCGATAATTTATAAATTTATGTAAATATGACCAAAATGATGTAAAGAAAAAATTGATTGTAAAATATAAAATAAATCTGAATATTTAAATAACTAACATCATAATAATTTTAACAAATTATTTTAGAAGTTTATAACAATTCATTTCAAAAAAGTTAAATATAAATATAAGAATCACAATATAATATCTAAAAAAAAAAAAAATTGGGGGATCAACATACATACCACCATGTCTTTGCTTAAGTATTTACATATATAACACCCCTTTATAATTTATTCCACTCAACATTGAAAATATACCTTTTCAATTTTTAAAAACTGAAATTTAGCTTTTTATCCATAGATAATGTGATATGTTTGTAAAAATTAAAGTTTAGGTGTTAGATATGTAAATAGATAACAATCAAGCGATATGCATGTAAAGAGAGATATGTATATATATATATATATATATATATATATATATATATATATATATGCCTATTTGTATTTCATATTTCGTAAATTATAAAAGAAAATAATATAAAAAAGTATTTAAAAAAGTTGCACATTTATTTTATATTGAAAGACATGAGAATATAGGATAGCTACAACAATAGCACATGAGACTCCACCTTACTATAGGCTTTTAAAATTCTTTTAAAATGTTGTAGCCAATTTAGAGGTCAATTCGGCCTGTTTTGGCCAGTTTTGGCCAGTTCGATGACTGTTCAATCCGGTTTGATGCAGGATGGTTATTAAGCAAACCCAAATTGGACCAGGAGCAAGTTCACGGTCGAACCAACCTGTTTGGTTCGGTTTTATAAACCATGTATATACTACTCCATTCTTTTGTAGTTACATATTGAATAGAATGCGTATATTTTTATTTTACATTTGTATCACTTGAATCTTTTGTATCACCACAAAATACCACCATTTCAAGATATATATGTAAATGTTCCTACTAATTTTAGAAATTTGGAACTTATAGAGTAAAATGAAAAATAAATGTAAAAGGCGGGTTAAGAATAACAAAAACCCAAGCATAGGCTCCTTCGAAGTAAGAATAATTTCATAGCAATAGAGATATTCGAGGCGTCCATCGATTTGTAATATCTCTAAGCAGTCCAACGTAAGTAAGACTGTATGAAGTAAAAGCAAGAATCGCTCCAACAACAAACACCAGAGAATTCTAACAAGTCATCCAAAATAACCATTCCAGCATGATCTGTGAAGCAGTGTCTCTCTGAGCCTAGAAAGTAAAAAAAAATTGGCTACCATGATAAATATAAAACTTATCAGTGCAATAAACAGTTAGGAGGCACCAATATAGCGGTTCATATAAGAAAAATATCTTTAATGTTATCATGAATATCATCCATATACTTTCATCTTCGACTTTTATCTATAACAGCAAGTCTAATATTGTCAATAATAGTCTCCGTTTATGCAGAGCAATTAGTAAAAATTGTAGAGTTTCTTTCAAGCAAGTGTAATACGATGTAATATGAATAACAAGCAGGAAAAATTTCCTTGACTGCTTAGAATGAATATTATCAACATAAAATAGGATTTGTGGCTTAGAGCCTCTCAAATGAAAAGAATTCCCAAAAGGAATGCTCCTAGTGAGAACAAAGAAAGTGAAATGACATTCAAACAATAAATGCATATGGGTTTCATGCCAAGATAGGCACAAAACACAATCCTTTGTGGCTCGAATACCCCTTAGCATTAAGAACATCCCTAGTTTTAATCCCCTTATAAGAATTTTCCACACAAAAGAAGCTTATTCAAGGGAGTGACCTTTAAACCATATAATTTTTGCCAAGAAATCTCATTAAAGAATTTATAAAGGAAAATGCAAGTTTCCTTGTGAGAAAAAAAATTTCTTATTGTTTCAAAGACAATTAGGACCATCATCTCTTATGGGAATATTTGAAATAGAATTAATACAATTTGTGGGGGTGTTCTGTGAAGAGGGGAGATTCCAGCATCCACCTAGGATGCATCAATAATCCTTTTGTCTTTAGTGCAACTGAACCAAGTATAGATTTGTTCACCATACTTCTCAAGAAGGGAAGAGCCCTCTAACTAGGGATAAAAACAAAAGGAGAGCTTGATGTAATTATTAACATTACGGGTAAGACATTCTCTTATTCTAGCTTCAATTTGCAAAATTTCCTTCCTGAAGAAAGAGTAAGTCCTCCATTTATATCAAAGGGAACCAATTTTAAAATCACTCCCATTGGAGATGATCGAGTTTAGCCTTGCAATAGGTTAACAATTTCTAAATTAGGAAGGTCTAGTTCACCAAAAGGCCTAGACAAAGTAGTGCAATGCCAGACAAGAGTATGCATAGTGCTTGAAGAGGTATGATGGCGAAAGAAATTGTTTACTAAAGAAAAGATGTGCTTTTTACTAATCTTAGGAATGTAAGTGTATCCCAACCAGTAAATCAAAAAAAAATTCAAATAATTGATTTAATAAGTTGAAATCTGCCCGAAAAACTCATAAGTGATTAGAAGAGTTTATAGTGATCCCTAAGTAATCTCAAGGAAGCATTTTGTTCTTGAATCCTAGGTGTATTTACATACATAAGACCTTATTCTTATATATTTACATATCTAACAACTATACTTTCAAATTTATACACCCAAATCTTTCATATCAATTAAAAAATATAAGTATTTTAATTTTTAAAAGGGGAAATACACATTTACTTGCATGGATAAGATGTATTCATGTAAAAAATTAAGTATAGGTATTAGATATATAAATACATAAAATTTATGCGGTATGTATGTAAATTTTCCTTATTTATTTGGCTATTTCCAGCGAATTTATCCACTATCACCCATAACCATCATTAACTTAAAGATCATTACTCGCTGAAAAAATTGATTCAAATTTTTGGTTTGGATTGAGATTGGATAAAAATAAATGAGTCGAGCTATGAGCTACACGCTACGAGCTACGAGCTACGAGTCAAAATTTTGGATCGAATGTTTTTTACCAAATTTTGAGCCGGCCCGACCTCAGCTTGAAATCTGATCATTAACAATACTACAAATATTAGGGCTGTGAATTTATCAAATTTAGCTCGAAGATAGTTAATCGCTCTAAAATTGATTTAAAGTTTGGCTCCGATTGAGATCGAATCGAAATAAAAGAACCGTGCTACGAGCCAATATTTTGGACTGAAATTTTTTCGAGCTGATTTTGAGCCGGCCTTGGCTCAATTCGAAATCGAATAGTTAACAGCCCTAACATCGAGTGATCACCTGCACTCTCTGCCACCACCAATAGGCCTACCACTCCGCTCACCCCCAACTGACATTTGTGCATTCGACCTCTTAATTTGCATTAAATTCGTTTAATTTCAAATTAAATAAAAATAAATATTTTATATTTATT